GTGTATTAGATTAAGTGTCTGTAGTGAATGCAGAGTGTGTGTTTGTGTTGTGTGTTTACATGTTGTGTAAAATATGGGCTGCATTGTGTGGGGGGAGAAACAAATTTTTTAAAATTAAAATTTATTTCTCCTATCTGCTTCTTATCTGTAGCCATTGAGGCCTTACCTGAAGCCACTGCCTGTGTGCCGTGGAGCGTTGCATTGTAACCCGTGGCAACGCTCTGACAGCTGTGGGATTCTCAAGATTCAGAGACAGACAAAGAGAGGAGCTGTTGTAAAGTGAAGACATCAGCGTGTGCTGGTCCCCCTCTGTATTGTAAAGGACCCCGCAGGTGCACATATATAGAGAGATATTCCTACAGCAGTTTGGGCCCCCTCAGGCCCATGTGAATTGTCATGGTTGTCAGGCCCTGATGGCGGCCTTGTGTCCAGGAGAACATGTTATATCCGACAATACTTTTTAGAATAAAGAAAGCATTTGACTGGCATGCCATGTTACCTGTAGGGTGTTGCAATAAATACCATAGTTGTGGTACAGACAAATTCTTACTGAAGCTGTTGCATAAGGAACCAGCTAACCTAAAACTAACAAGACCACCTTTCAGGTGCTAGCAGAGCCCGAAGCAAGGAGTCTTCCTTTTTGCATATCTGGTTTTCAACATTACATCTAGTCTTGGTTGCATGCTGCAAAATTGTTTGATATTTTTATAGGGGCAATATAAAATAAATAACTCTTTTAGGCCTAGTATGAGAATTGGAAAGTTAAGAAGAAGAAAAAAAAGGTTTGTGAAGAGGTGACAGTCATAATTATTTGTGAGTGAAAGTTTTTAGATACACGAATCCCATTACCAGGCTGATTTGTATGCTTTTCAATTGTAACTAAATTTTCCAGCCAAGTTGTCTAGATATTACAAGTCCTGCGGCAATCTCCAGGAATTCTAACAGCCTAATTCACTAGCTTTGAATGACAGAAAAATAAAATGGTCTATTATTGTAGAAAACATAATATTGTCTATAATGACTTTAATTCTGATCATAATAATTATAAGTGGCACTATCTTGATCAGGTATCCTTATTGCATAACTGAGATGCATATTATTGTATATGGTGATTCTATTATTTAAATGAATGTATGTTTGTGTTTGAGGTCCCCTTTGTCTAAATAAACCATGTCCTCTATTTTTGCTCATAAGATAATGATTGAATGATTTCTTTCTTTTTTTAGATATATTCTTGTAATTTATGCTATTGTTATCTGATTTACATCATAAAACCACACAGTTTTATTCAAAGTACAAGTAGAATAGTTGAGACACCAAATTGCAAACACTGGTGCTTTATAGCCATAAACCCATGTGCAGAGCATCTTTTTATGGGCAAAGGCATCAGTTAGTGGTTTATCAACTCTTTTTGAACTTCTTTTAACCATCACTTTGAAATTCCCCCTGTCTCAAATCCCTCTTATATCCATTTAGATTCTAAGCTCATGGCCTATCTAGTTAAGCACTTTGTATGTATTCAATGGTTAGACCTCAGCTTACGGGCAGGGCACTTTCTACCTTTTGTATTTGTCTGTGTATATTGTACCTTCTCCCCTAATTGTACAGCGCTGCGGAATCTGTTGGCGCTTTATAAATACCAGTAATAAATAAATACATTAAACAATGAAAATCCCTCGTCTTTGCTGTCAGAATCCATGATTTGGCTTTTGTATTTATCACCATGGTAAGTGGCAGGCAGAAGATGCCAATGCATTACAAATTAAACAATATAACAGATCAAATATTACAGTAATATAAACAAGCATGGAAAACAAGTATTTCTATTTGGCTAGTTTTTCAAATTGCTTTTAAATTCTCTAGTCCCAAAACATTCAGATTTACAGATTTACATTACAGCAACCATGTAAAAACACAGAGATTTCAATCTACATTTCCAGTTCATTTTTCCATGAAATAAAGCTTTCTTTGATAGTAGTCTGCAAAAAAATCAGAAGGTTTATAGTTTTAGTATATTCTCATTTGTTTTCCGTCATCATCAATTTCCAATTTTCATCCCATCTCCAACCTCATGTATTCCATCACAATTTTCTCTATCTTGCTGTCTGTCCATCTGTCTATTTATCTCTCTTTATTTATCTATCTATCTCTGCCTGTCTGTCTGTATATCTATCTCTGTCTGTCTATCAATGTATATCTATATATCTATCTGTCTGTCTGTCTGTCAATCAATGTATATCTATCTATCTATCTATCCAAGGACATTCTGGGCAGGGATTTAAGAATGTTATTGCACACTTGGAAAGTGGCATAACTTTACTTAATGATGGGATGGTGTGCATGGAGAGATATACCACAAGCCGAGGCTAGTTATACCTCTCCCCTGCACAGCCACAGGCTGCCCCATACCAATTTTGGAATTTGTGCATGTCACTTTCAGAAAGAAGTAAGGAGGCTCTGATACAATAAATCAGATTTGTCTGAATTTTGTCTGTGCAGCCTAAAGTGCATCTGATTAACAGAGCAACCTTACGCTGCATTGACATTACTGCAATATCGTTTAGTAACTTGTAGCTACAACATAAAAAAGAAGAGTGAAAACGTCTGCATGCTCTTTTTTCCCATATATTCTGATAGAGTGAAATGCCTACATACATAGTAGGAGTCCTGCAGCAATCTAGACAAATGAGTACAGCCTAATTTGTTACTGTGATTGACAGGATAATAATATGACCCATTATTGAAAAAATAAAAAATAAATAAAAATAAAAATAGCATGGTCAAAATCGCTCTCAATCTTACTGATGTTGTGAAATAATATACCAAGTCACATATATTAGTTGTAATTTTGTCTGTGCAGCCTAAAGTGCATCTGATTAACAGAGCAACCTTACGCTGCATTGACATTACTGCAATATCAAGCATATACGTTTAGTAACTTGTAGCTACACCATAAAAAAGAAGAGTGAAAACGTCTGCATGCTCTTTTTAGCTATCATTCTTTGATTTTAAGTGTGTAAATAATATAAATCAGATTTTTTTCCCATATATTCTGATAGAGTGAAATGCCTACATACATATTAGGAGTCTTGCAGCAATCTAGACAAATGAGTACAGCCTAATTTGTTACTGTGATTGACAGGATAATAATATGACCCATTATTGAAAAAATAAAAAATAAATAAAAATAAAAATAGCATGGTCAAAATCCGCTCTCAATCTTACTGATGTTGTGAAATAATATACCAAGTCACATATATTAGTTGTAATTTTGTCTGTTCAGCCTAAAGTGCATCTGATTAACAGAGCAACCTTACGCTGCATTGACATTACTGCAATATCAAGCATATACGTTTAGTAACTTGTAGCTACAACATAAAAAAGAAGAGTGAAAACGTCTGCATGCTCTTTTTAGCTATCATTCTTTGATTTTAAGTGTGTAAATAATATAAATCAGATTTTTTTCCCATATATTCTGATAGAGTGAAATGCCTACATACATATTAGGAGTCCTGCAGCAATCTAGACAAATGAGTACAGCCTAATTTGTTACTGTGATTGACAGGATAATAATATGACCCATTATTGAAAAAATAAAAAATTAATAAAAATAAAAATAGCATGGTCAAAATCCGCTCTCAATCTTACTGATGTCGTGAAATAATATACCAAGTCACATATATTAGTTGTAATACACTGTGGAGAGTAGTTAAAAAAAAAATGATAGGGATACTGACCTCACATTTTCCATTATGGTTACTGCTCTTATAACAAAATCATTTGAAGAAGAGTTCTTATTATAGGTGCACATTTGACAGAACACAATTCAGCAAGCTGGTTTCACCCCTTGCCCTGAAACAACGTTACAAGTAAAAAAGGCATTTTTAGCTCTGTGTAACCTTGTTTTACCATCAAATCAGCTGCAGGGCCAGACAATGTATTCCCCAAAGGGATGGAATGGCTGTATATACATATTTCGAGCCTCTTGCAACTCATAATTCATTTTTTCAGATGTAATAGAGTAGATCTATCAAATATTGTGAGGGTTTGCTGACCCAGGAAAAAAGGAGGGATTGCTTTCCCATTGATGGTAGTGCTGAACTCAATTTTATAACTTTTACTTGCTAGAATTGTTTTTGGTTCTAGTAAGCATGGGTTCATACAAATGTTATTTTTATACTTTCTGAGAATAAAAATAGAAATCTGATAGCCTGTGCTTTTGTGAACATATGTCCACAGGTATCCAAAGAAGATTTTGAACTGAGAATATTAATTTGAACATAGACATGTAGTGGTGATACATTATCAGTTCTGACCTAGCCTGACTATTCCCTAGACATGTTTTTCCAATTTTCTAAGATATAACTATATCCACGTTTCTCCTTTCTCACTCCCTAAATCAGCGTTTCCCAATTAGTGTTTTGCGGAACCCTAGCGTTCCACAAGAACACAATTGGGGTTCCGTGATGACTTGCCCATAGGGTAGCCCAAGCATTTAGGGCCACCCGATGGATATCGCTAAACAAAGGTCCAGTCAGGTGCTGCAGCCATCTAAGACTGCGACAGGACCCCTGTTGTATGGGATGCTGGGAGGAAGTGATGTCACTTCCTCACAGCATCCCATACAACAGGGATCCTGTTACAGACAGAGCGTGTGGCTGGAGGGAGAGAGGGAGCAGTGGGGATGGAGCAGCACAACAGTCTCAGCCAGCAGCACTGAAGATCCTCCTGTAGAAGAAGGTAAGTGAACAGCAATCTGTGTGTCAAGGTGTGTGTATATGTGTCTGTGTGTGTATGTGCTAGTGTGTATATGTGTGTCAGTGTAGCTGTCTGTGTGTGTATGTGTGTCTGTTTGTATGTGTCAGTGTGTATCTGTGTGTCAGTGTAGCTGTCAATGTGTGTGTGTGTGTGTGTGTGTGTGTGCCAATGTGTGTATTTTTGTGCCAGTGTGTGTGTGTGTCTGTGTGCCAATGGGTGTGTATCTGTCAGTATGTGTATCTGTGTGTTAGTGTTTTTGTCAGTGTGTGTATCTATGTGCCACTATGTGCCGGTGGGTATCTGTGTGTCAGTGTGTATGTATCTGACACACATATACACACACTGGCACATAGTGGCACACACTGGCACATAGATACACACACACTGACAGAATAATACACACATTGGCACACACACACACACCGGTACATACACCCACCCATCGGCATATACACACAGATATACACAACTTGACACACAGATACACACTGGCACACACACACAGATACACACACTGGCAGATACACACAGGCACATAGATACACACACAGATACACACACCTAGACACACATATACATACACACACACACAGATACATACTGTGTGTCAAGGTGTGTGTATATGTGTGTCAGTGTGTGTATCTTTGTACCAGTATGTGTACCTGTGTGGCTGTCTGTGTGTGTGTCAGTGTGGATCTGTCAGTGTGTGTATCTGTGTGCCAGTGCGTATCTGTGTGTCAAGTTGTGCATGTCTGTGTGTATATGCCGGTGTGTATCTGTGTTTGTGTGTGCCAGTTTGTGTCTCTTTTTCAAGGTGTGTATCTGTGTTCGTATGTGCCAGTGTGTGTTTCTGTGTGCCAAGGTGTGTGTGTCTGTGTTTGTGTGTATATGACGTGTATGTATTGGTGTGTTTCTGTTCGGTAATGTGTAAGTAAGTAAGTATGTGGCAGTACATATGCAGACATACCAGCAATCAAACACCAGCACAACACACGCTCCTGCAAACACTAACATAACATAAAAAGACACCCCTGAACTCTAACTCTAAAACTATATACAAATACTCAAACACCAATACTACACAAAAATGTACATCCACATTTAAAATCCAACACCACATCCAAATACACCTCTGCATGCAAATGCTAACATTACATTTAAAATGCTTTCCAGGAGTGGATAAATGGACATGTAGAGACTGATTCAGGAGGAACCGGATGAAGGGTTATCTTCCATCTAGATTGACAGATGTGTCACAGGAAG